CCGGGGAACCGGAAACGTCGAACTCCTTCTCAGCTTGGGAGACCCTGCTGGAGGATAAACTTCCGCTGTATTTCGCAGTTTGACACCCAGAGTCAGCCCCGCGCCACGATGAGGCGGTAGACCATTACGGGGGCTATTTTTATATTTATGTACATATATATATATATTTACATATTTATATAAGTTGTCATACCTTTTTGTAGGCATCACAAGCTCAGAGTATTTGTAATGGATAAAGTTTTTTGCCGTATGCGCCAAGTTGCGCACCGAGCGCACGCCCGCTGGCCGTATCTATCGTTTGTAAGGCCCTCATCCTCTTATGTTCAGGCAATGTGGTAGGCGGCACTTCACGGTGGAGTTTCTTCGCATCATTAGTGACTTTGGAGTGTGCTTCCATATTCACAATTAGGTTTAGGCTTTCATGAGTAAAGTACGTGTTGAAAACACGAAAAAGTTTACGCTACACGTTCCAGTTGTTTACAGTCATTAATGGGAGAAGTAACACAGTTGAGCTTTGTGCAGTGGGATCATAGATGCGATCTTTAACAATGATTTATAAACTTAGATTGCAAAGAATCTACTAAAATCAACCGTTTGAGAATACTTATCCGAAAAATCACTTTTGCCGATTAGTTACTCCGTCCAGGTTTCTTAAAGTGCTTTTGAAAGTCACTTATCCGTAAAGAGTGAAAAACAAGCAAACACCATGTGAACAAAAACAGTTGAATTGCTCTCCGCTAAGGTACGGGATATTGTGCCATCATAGAAAACCATATTGAGGCGAAGTACTACTTTTACCCTCCGAAGTATACCAAACTTTTTTTCAGGTCATGTAGATCAGTTCAATGTGCAGAGTGGGCTCTATATGAAGACGTTTGCTAGGGTCACAGAGCAGAATGAACGACTGACTAAAAGCGAGAAGTCCATAGTAAGCATCTTTTCACATTTTTTTTCGAAAGTGAGTGGGGGATAACCTTTTTAATCTTATTTTTAGTAGATAACTTATTGTCGGCTCCCAGGGTACTCTGGGCGGAGTAAGCAGAGCCGCTGTAGCGGCGCAGTTGCGCGACATCTGGTACTGCGGCGTGGATACGTTGCAATCCACTGATTCTAAGGGTGGCGATCAGCTGATCATCGCACTCAGACTGATGAAATGTGCACAACCGTGCCGCTGCAGTGGCTCCTGGCTCCTCCTAGGGTATGCCTGGGAGCCGACAGTACAACTAGATAAGTTATTGCAACCTATACAGATAATTTGAATTACAAATTGTCTTTCTACATCTATAATTGCAACTCAAGAGAAAATGAGGTTTAATCGACAGCGTAGCAATGCTTTTGGCTAAACCATAGAAATAAATCGACCGTTTTTTCTCTTACAGTACAATACCAAGAATGTTTTTGGTTCGTTGTAATGTTGAGACAGTTTATCATTTTCATCTGTTGGGCATTATGCTTACATAGATGAACTTTATGTCCTACCGTAATAGATAACATCATTGTTTCCAGCCACAAAAAGCCCATAACGAAAGAATCACAGTGTTAGTTGTGGACACTCGCGGCTCCCAACTCATTACTGGATGCTCTGGTGGTTGCTTGAAATACTGGCAAGTCCGCACAGGCAAATTACTAGCAACAATGCGAACTCGACTACGCATCGAGCGCTCTGCACCATGTGTATCCAACAGTTTGCTAGCACTAGCATGTGCAAGCGACGAAGGTGGAGGTAATTTCTTCACAGCTGGAAAAATGTTTATCAAATATTTTTGAAGGTGGCTCCGTTGCTATCATAGACACGCTTTGCCGCCGCGTTGTGCGGAATTTCGATAATGTAGGTAAGGTTGTTAATGCCTTGACGTTCTCAAGTGATGGACGGTGGGTTCTTACTGCGGACGACACTAGATACATTAGGGTAAGACTCCCAGAGCTTGTTCAGTTTTCAAAAATTTTCAGTCGAAACTATTGGTGACTTCTAGGTTTGGGAGCTTTCCACATCTCAGCTTATAGATGTAATGCTGTTTGACAAGCCTTGTATAGGCATGTCCTTCAACAATACTGGAGAATATCTAGCTACAATCCATCAGGTAATCTAAATTTCAGCGGTCATTTTCAGAATAAGTTTAATTGCTGTATCACTCAATGAAAGGTCCTTCATTTCAAGGGAGAAAAATCGATTTTTATTTGGGCAAATAAGAAGATGTATGCATCTCATGTGAACATAAGATCCCTACCATTGGATTATCTCCCAACCTGGGCGTCACATGTACCAGAAATAGGTGTAAACACTTTTGTCATTGATGATGAGAGCGATGGCGAATATGAAGAAAAAGAACAGGTATCCTAGGTATTCTCTCATATTTCTATCTTCTTTCGCGTGAGCGACACTTGTTGAAGGTTGATTCATCCCTTGTGACGTATTCCGGCCTAGCCCCATCGCGTTGGGCAAATCTCCCTGAGTTTGCACTCATAAAAGAACGGAATAAACCTGAGCAGCCAGCGAGAAAACCGAAAAAGGTGCAATTCACCTATATACCTATTTCAAAATCCTTCATTTCAATAATCCCAGGCACCGTTCTTTCTCACAGCTGCGCCTACATTAGAAGGTTTTGAGTTTGTTGTTCCTCCAGAGGATGGGAAAGAAAGACGGCGCGCACTACAGGCGAAAAGAAATCTGTTAGAACTGGAAAGTTCATTTAGCTCATTATTAAGAAAGTAAGTTTACATACTTTATGTCTATACTAAGTCATGTTTTTTTCGATGCGAATTAAAATTAACATCGAAACTATATATATATATATATATATATATATATATATATATATATATA